CCATTCCAGATACTCCCCAAACACATCCCCAGCACCCACCCCTTGCACTCCCTTCCAGCACCCACCCCATGCACCCTCCCCCTACCTGCACACCCAACATCCATCTCATGCACCCACCTGCAGCACCCACTCCATGCACGCACCCCAGGCACTCACTTCCAGCACCCAACCCTCTCACCCACCCTCAGCACCCATTCCAGGCACCCCCCCAAAACCATCCCCAGCACCCACCCCATGCGCCCACCCCATGTATGCGCCCCCAGCATCCCTCCCATGCACCCACTCCCCATGCACCCCTCCCATGCACCCACCCCAGCACCCATCCAACCCACGTATGCACCCCCAGAACCCCTCCCATGCACCGACCCACCCCATGTATGCACCCCCAGCACCCCCCGTGCACCCGCCTCAGCACCCACCCACCCAATATATGCACCCCCAGCACTCCCCCCATGCACCCACTCACCCCATGCACCTGCCTCCAGCACCCACCCCATGCACCCACCCACTCCATGTGCGCACCCCCATGCACCCACCCCAGCACCCACCCCATGCACACGCCCCCCATGCACCCCCCACCCCCAGCACCCCCCCAGCGCCCTCCCCGCTCCCCGCAGCCTCTCCCCGGCCCGGCGCTGCCCCCTCCCGGCCGCTCCCGGCCCTGCCCGGAGCCCCGCGGGGCCGGAGCCGCAGCCTGGTGGGAATCAATAAAAAGGTTGGAAAAAGCCTCCGAGGTCACCCAACCCACCCTGCCACCGACACCACCCACAAAACCACGTCCCTAAGCGCCACGTCCGACCTTTTTGGAGCAGCGGGTGCAGGGTCACCAGCACCCCACAGCCCCGGCACCCCACAGTCCCAGTACCCCCCAGTCCCGGCACCCCATAGCCCCAGCACCCCCCATCCCACTCTCACCAGCCCAGCCCGATGTGTCCCACCCTGGCCACCTCCTCGCAAAGACCCCAGCCCCAGCAACACCCTTGCAGCCCAAGCCCTGCAGGACCCTGCTCTCAAACCTCCCCTTCCCCTTTTTTTCTTTCCCCACCATCCAGCGAGCCCAATGCCTCCCAACCCAGCCCTGAGCCCAGCTCCGCTGCCACGTCCCCTTCCCTGATCCCTCCTGCTCCCACCTCTGCTCCCTGTGAGGTGGAGGTGAGAGGGTGGGCACCCTGGGGCTGTGCCCATGCCCTGTGAGGTTCCTGAAACCTCGAAGTGACAGTGATTTTGGGGACCGTTTCTCAGCTTTCGGCTCCTCCAGCTCACAGGTGCCCATCTGCCCCCAGCCGTGTGCCCGTGCCCGGAGCCCCCACAGCCCGTCCACAGCCCATCCTGCTCCACAAGGGAGGAGGGATGTGGGTCCTGCACACCCAGCTGTCCCCTTGTTCCTGCGGGGCTGTCCCCTGTCCCTGCACTGCTCAGGAGGTCCCAACCCCACCAAGAATCACCTGCAGGAAAACCTGTGGTGACTCGGCTGCTGCCAGCACCTCTCCACTTGCTGGCAAAAGAAAAGAAAAACAAAAAAAGCAGCTGGGTGCCAGCACTGGGGCTGATTCCCAGGGGCAGCACCCCAGCCACGCACATCCCTCCTGGTGTCACCCATTCCCGTCTGGCCAACGGGAACCTCCTGGAGATGGTGGCGATGGTGAAGGGGAACCCACTTCTGCCCAGCAGATGTGGGTTGAAGGTGGGGATTTAGAGAGCAGAAAGCAAACGGCTGAGGTGCTCCCGGGAGGAGGACGCGGGCTCCAGCACAGCCCACGGAGGGGAAGCAGTGAGAAGCCCCAGAGTGTTGGCTCCGCTCCGCCGTGGCGGACTCAATGGCCCGATTGTGCGCCAGGAACAGATGCACCGCTCCAGGCAGCCGCACAGAAAGGCTTTTTGCTGCCCTCAATGGCAGAGCTGTGCGGTCCCGCAGGGAAGGTCCCGCTCGCTGCCCCGGCCCTCGCCAGATGCCTGGCGGTCGGGGACCCGCCAGCAGCGGGGCGCGGGGCGCAAAGGGTGCTCTGTGTGTGAGCGCTGCTGGAAATGTCAAAAGCAAGGCGGGTGCCGCGAGCCCCAGGGCTCTGCGAGGCCACGGCGTGCGGGGGGAAGTGGGGCTGGGACAGGGGTGATGGGGAGCTGGAAACGGCTGGAAATAATTCCCAGTGCAGAGACTGAGAGACGTCTTTGTCAGTGGTGGTGGTGGAGCAGAAGGGCATCCGCTGGGAAGGATGTTCCCTTTGCCCCAGGGATGCTTTCCTGGGTGTTAAAGGCCAGAGAGCCAAGAAGAAGAAGCTTTTGGGGGCTGTTTTGTCCTCCCGGTGCACACCCATCCGGATCCTGCTCTGCAGGGTGAAGGGAAACATGCGGGTACGGCTCAACCTGTGTCACCTGCCCCGGCTGAGGTGGGGACACCAATGTCCCCCTGCAGGGCAGCATCTTCCCTTCCTGCTCACCACATGCACAAGCCATGTGAGAGAGACACAAGCCACGCACAAGCAAGACAGGAGGGCAGCAAGACAACAGCTTGGCCCTCTCCTTGTGGGTGCTGCTGCTCTGAGCACCCTGGGGCTCCTGCTCCTTGCTGGCAGCACCTACCTGCTGCCAGCCCTGCCGAGATGGGGGGCAAGGACGGCCACTGTCCCCAGGCTGGAGACAGGGAGCTGCCACAGGGAGGTCAGCAGGAAAGCCAGGAGACAGAGCAAACAGGTATGGAGGTACAACCTAGAGGCTCCAGAAGAAATAAAATAAAATAAAATAAAATAAAATAAAATAAAATAAAATAAAATAAAATAAAATAAAATAAAATAAAATAAAATAAAATAAAATAAAATAAAATAAAATAAAATAAAATAAAATAAAATAAAATAAAATATTTAAAGATCAGTTTTTAAGGAGTGCTGCGTTTAAGCGACTGGCACAACTTTTCAAAGCAGCTCCGGCTGCAGATCCTACATGCACAGCCCGACCTGAGTGCCCAGAAAGCCCTGGCCCAGGAAGCACCCCGCTCCCCCGACTGCTGGGGTGCATTTAGGGCTGTGCAGCATCAGGAAGGTGCCAGCCACTGGGGCCAGTCCCTGCGGTGCTGTCAGTGGAGCTGGCCTCTGGCCAAAGCAAATCCCAGCCGCAGAAAATCTGCACAACACTTTCCTCAGCCCTGATAAGGCTGGGCTGGAAACAGACACAAGAAAAAAGCCGCCCCGGCCATCCCCCACACCAGGAGTGCTAAATATTGTCCGAGATAAAAGCCTGCAGCCGCTGTGCCACACAGGCAAGGAACATCACCTGCAGGCGGCCAGATCAGAGGGGACACAGGAGAGGGGACGCAGGGACAAGGGGACCCTGCACCTGGGGATGGGAGGGCGCACAGGGTAACGGGGTGGGACGTGGGAGGGGGTGACATGGAGCAGGAGGTGCACAGACAGCGGGTGACATTGCACGTGGCCTGTCCTTCAAGCATCCGCCACGGTGGCACTAAATCAGGCTGGAGGGTGTCCCCGAGGAGGTGACAGGGAAGTGGAGACGTCGGTGCGTGAGATGATAAATGGGGACTGACACCGCGGCTGGGTGCAGCTTCCCCTCCACCATCAGCCCCCTCCCTGCCAGCGGTGGGCCCGGGGTGGGCGTCCTGCAGCCCCCAACCAAATGCCCCCCACCCTCCAGGTGTCCCCAGGCAGCCCCCCCAGTAGCTGTGGAGGCTGCTCCGGCTCCGTTTTTGGGCTGTTTGTTTTGCTCTGCTGCTTCTACAATGTCCCAGGGAGGAAGGATCCGAGCAGAGATGCAAGGAGAGGAAATCGGCTTCCTGCCCGCTCGCAGACCTGCAGGCAGAAAACAAGGACATCCTGCCACGGCCAGCGGGACGGCCGAGCCTCCTGGCAGGGCGGCGTGCTGGGCTGGTTTATTTACGCTGGTTTATTTAGGCGTTCACCTCGCTTTCCTACGGAGGAAGCAGCAGCCAGCCCTGCTCCAGGGGTCCCCGGGGGTCCCGCTCCGGGTGCGGCCAGGCGAGCCCATTTGGGGGGCCACAGAAGGGGCAACGGAGCTGGGAACGGGGCTCGGGCAGGCGCAGCGGAGCTGGAGCAAGCAGAGATTAACTCAGTCTGCCAGGAAATGGCTCAAACGCAGCCGAGTGGCTGCTTTTCCAGGTGCTCCCTGAGCATGCACGGCTCTCCCTGCCCCGGGCCGGCACTGGCAGCAGCCCCCAGCACGGCCAGGAGGGCTTTGGGAGCTGCTGCCCCGGATGGGACAGAGCCGTGGAAGCCTGGCCGAGCTCTGCAGGTTTCTGTTACACCGACCCTGCTTGGTTTCTGTGCTAAGTCCTAGGGATGTGCACTCAGCCTGTCCTGGCAGTTTGCAGCGATTTCCAGGTCCTGGTTGTGGTCTGCGACAGAGAAACGCCCCATCACGCTGCTGCGCATCGCAACGCATGCACACGTGTGTGCATCCCCCAACTGACCCCAGGGACTGGGAGCATCGGGGTTGTCCTGATAGGGAAACCGAGGCATGGGCACATGTACAGCCACAGCCAGGGCTGGCGGGGAGCAGAGGATGGGGGTTCACAAGGAAAAGCCATTTTCTGAGGCCCTCTTTTGGGGCCTCAGAAAAAAAAAAAAAAAAAAAAAAAAAAAAAAAAAAAAATTCAATTCTTTTATTTAAATTTAAATTCTTAAATTCTTTAAGAAATAAATTATTTTATTTAAATTTAAATTCTTTTTTTAAAAAAATCTTTTTTAAATGTTTTTGTTGAACTGAAGACTCATCGGGTCATGGAGCTTCTTCCTCAGATGGCTGCTTCTGGGAGGCCCAGGGCTGCTCTCCCCGGCCAGTGCCAAGGTTTGGGACTGGAAGAGCCGTGCAGGACCCTGCCACGATGCCATGAAACTCTGCAGAGCCTCAGACAGCTCAGCTGCCACATTCCAGTCTCATAACATTTTGTTGTTGTTTTGTTTTGTTTTTTTGTTGTTTTTTCTTTTGGCAAAACTGCCCTTGTAACAGCAACAAAAGCCCAGCCAGCCCTCCTTGCAGTGCCGTGGCTGTGGCTTTACCCCCACGAGGCCCAGCCGGGGAAGCCAGCAGCGCCCTTTGCCTCCAAGCACGGGTTCGGATGCTGCTGCCCGGGGCCAGCAGCCCAGCCGGGCGGGTGCCACCACTCGGACCGGTCCTGGCTCAGGCTGCCACAGCCCCGAGGGGAAGCCTGCAGGAAAACCTCCTCCATCTGACTGCCCAGACCCAGCACTTTCCCCGTGCCGCCTCCCAGAAGCATTTGTGATTTGTGGTTAAAGCCGTGGCCGGCCCTTGGGACGTCTCTGTCTGCGTTCTTGCATTGGAGCTCTGCATAAACCACAAATGTTAGAAACAAGCACCATCCCTCGGGGCTGACTGCCCTTGGACACCAGAGCTCAAAGCCAGGAGCTCGCACTGACAGCGGAGGGCATCTTGGGCAAAGGCTGCTCTTGAGTTTTGTCCTCAAAATGTCTTTGAGCTACCACAGCTCTGCGCTCCAGCAACAAATTCGGGCAGCCCAGGTCTTCATGCCCTGTGAGACCATGGGGCTGTAAGAGGCCTTCCTGCTCTTCTCACAGCTCTGCTGGGGTGGCACCAGCTCACAAGGCTTGGAGAAGCAGGAAGACCTCGCTTTCCCAATCTCTTTTTTCCACAACTTTCCCTCTTTTTTTTTTTTTTTTTTTTTTTTTTTCTTGTTATATTCGCAAGGAGGAAACAAGAAAAGTTTAGCGATGGGTGAAATTCTTGACAGATGTCCAAGAGCAGGAGCAAGGGACCTGGACACGGAGCCGTGCAGCCAGGGGGTGGGCGCTGGCTGGTTTTGACTCATTGCTGGGTTTCACCTTCCCAGATCTTGATGGAGAAGGAAAGCTGCAGGGGGACGGAGGACCTAATGATTTCTTTGTTGAGCAGTCACTGAATCATCAGGAGCGGTGCTATTTTAGACCTGCTTTGGGTACAGAATGAGGGCATGAAATCACGCAGCTCATTACCACAGGATGCCGGAGAGGCCAAGTATGTAAATGGACTGGAGAGGGCTGGTGTCTGTCGGGAGAGGTAGAGCCATTAGGGCTATTAAGGTATTTCCGTCCGGATGCAAACCTTTTGTCAGGAAGTCCCCAAGCTGCCAGCTGGGAGGGATGTCGGGAAGCATGTCTTGTTTCTCCTGCTCTTCCCGTGAGCAGCATGACGGAAGAGCCGGCCGTGGAAAAATACCCAGGGGTTCAGCAGCTGGGGACGGATCCTGCTGGAAAGGAAAAAGAAACACGAAATCGGTGCTGAGGGACTCAGCAGGCGAATCTAGGCTGTAGCAGAGAGCGAGGGCAGGCTTCATGGCACGAAGCTGCCGAGGGTCCCTGCGGGATGGAGAACGGGCCCAGACCTCGCCAGCGTGCAAAGCAGGCGGGGAAGAAATCTGGCAGGAAAAGGAGCCGAGCAGCCTAAAAAACGAGACGAAGGCTGCCAGCCCCCCGGCACAGCTGGGCCTGGGGAGCTCGGCCAGGGCAAGCAGCACGGGGGGGGGGGTCCCCAATTCTGGGGGGGGGGTGGGAGCCGGGCAGGGAGAGCCCCCCAGCCCCAGCTGCGTGCGCTCGGGGCACCCCTCGTCCCCCGGGGTGCAAAGAGCGAGGGTCCCCCAAACTGAGGAGGGGGAGGCGAGGGTGGGGGGCACCCAGCTTCGTGACCCCACCGGGACCGGGGGGCACCTCGGGGGGGTCCCGCTGGCGTCGAGGCGGGGAGCGGGATCCCGTCGGGGCGGTGCCGGGGGCGGTGCCGGGCGGTGGCGGCGGCGGCCGGTGCCAGTCCCGGGTCGGGCCGGGGGCGATCCCCGCCCGCCGCCGCCCCGCCCCGGCCCCGCCGCCGGCCCGCCCTCGGCCCTCGGCCCCGCGGCTGCGGCGGGGCAACGCTGCGAGCCCGGAGCCGCCGGGCCCGGGAGCACGGCCCCGCTCGGAGGGGCTCGGGAGCAGCCCGGAGGTCCGGCACGGCTCGGTACGGCCCGGCACGGCACGGCTCGGCCCGCCGAGGTGAGGGGCGGTGGGCCCGGGAGCGGCTCCGGCGGCGGGACGGGGCCCACCCAAGGGTTGCTGCAGCCCCAAAGGAGCCCCCGGGGGTGTCGGGGGGGCTCCGGGCATCCCGGTAGGGAGAGAGACGGAGCGGGGCTGGAGCGGGGGCTGCGCTCCGTCGGGGCCGGGCCGGGCCGGCCAACGGCGGCTGGAGGGGAGGGGGGGTCCCGGGGGGATCTGGGGGGGTCCCGGGTTTGGGGGGGCTGCGGGGAGGGGAGGGCCCGGGGGGATCCGGGAGGGTCCCGGGATGGGAGGCTGCGGGCACCCCGTGGTGCTGGGGGTACCCCGTGGTGCTGGGGGGCTGCAGGCACCCCATGGTGCTGGGGACCCAGGGACCCATGGGTGCCGTGGGGTTCCTCAGGTGCTGCAGGCACACGGGGCTCGGGGTGCTCCCAGCTGGGGAGGGCGAGGCCAGGGCTCAGCCCTCGCACGCATTTGGGGAAGCCGCCGTCCCCTGCCCATGCCTGAGCGCCCACCCAGCGTGGATTCAGCCTCCCTGCCACGGGACGGGCACAGGCTGTCGGGGTTTGTTGTCCACCCCGTGCATCGTCACCGTCCCCGAAAAATTTGGAAGGTGGTGGTGGAAAATGCTGGTGGGCTGCCGTGCGGGTGCAGGAACAGCGTTAGGTGTTTTGTAGCAGAGCTGTAGGAGCCCTGTAGGTGCAGTGGGGTACCCAGAGCCATTCCCCAGGCGAGCCAACCGTGCACCCGCTGTCCGGGCACTGTGTGAGCTCGGGGAGGTCCCAGCATCGCTGCAGCGGGTGGGAGCCCGAGTAGCTCCCTGGCCTCCAAACCGGCCGACCCAGGCAATGGTGACGACAGCTCCAGAAAGAAGAGCCCAGCCCTCAAATCAGGCTGTGGGGAAGACCAAACTTTTCTCCCCTCCCTCCGTCCCTGTGTCAGTGCAGGCACACCCACCCCGTGCGTGGCCAAGGACCTGCTGCAGCCCCGGATGGTCCAGGCACGGGCTGCCCCGTCTGTCCCATCCAGCTGGGGCAGAGGCATTGAGGGGAAGGGGCGATGAGCACCCAAACCCCCCTGGTTGTGCCCAGCCCACCACATTGGCGGTGGCATCGCAGGTGATGTGTCCCTGTGACAGCCAGCTCGGGGCTGTGACGGCTCCGTGCGAGGATCCCAAATCCCAGCAGGTCGCTGGCAGCTCCAGCCCTCTCGCTGCGGAGGAAGCCGCCTGCTTGCTCAGTGGTTTCCCTTTAACTTTGGAACAGCCTCAGCCCGGGGCTTCAGGGCTTATCGCCCGTGCGCAGCTTCAAGGGAAACGTGCCTCGCGAAGATAAATCAAGTCGCACTGGCCGGGGCTGCTCTGGACTCTGTTCTTCTCACATTCCTCATGACCTCAGTGTTTTGGCTCGGAGGACGGCCAGGGAGCGCCGTCAGCATGTCCAGCCCTGGGCGGTCGCCTCGCTCCAGCCCCGTGGATCGTGGGGCTGGGGGAGCAGCCCCGCTGCGCCCCTCGCTAGGGGATGCGGTGCAGAGGTGGCCAAAGCTTAAAAATCGCTCGCCCACTGGCCCTGGGCTTTGGCACTGGAGGAGCATCGCCCCTTGGACGAGGCCAGCGGCTCACAGTGGGTTGGGCTCAGCCTGGGGTGCGGTGCTGGGTGGTCCTGAGCCAGGATTCCTCTCCAGGCCTGGAAGGCAGATTCAGCTCCAGTGGCTGTGTGGGCGCAGCTCAGCATCCAGCTTGGCTCCTGGGCCTCTCACCTGCTGTGGGATTTTATTGTACTCGAGCTGAGGAGCTCCACTTTGGCCCAAAGTTCCTTGTGTGGGCATCAGTACGACAGCAAGGGGATAAAACAAGTGTGGGACCAGCGCGGAGCACGGTCCCGGCTCTGCAGGGACAACTCAGTCCTTGTCCATCCCCGTCTTGCTTAAGAGCCTCCCCAGCAGCACTGCAGCTTGTGCCAACCAGCTTTTGTGCGGAGATGCCAGGGCCAGAAATGATGCTTTAACTTCTTCCGAAGGGAGCTGGGATGGCACAGGGGCCTCCCATCCCCGGGACCGGTGCTTTGAGCACAGCACCAGGTCCTGGCACGTCTCCTCCTGGGCACAGGGGTGCCCGCTGGCTCGGCAGGGCTGTGGAGGCACCCGGCAGCACCCAGCCCGGTGTCCAGGGGAGCAGCCGAGGCTGCCAAAACCCAGCCTTCTGCAACAAAGCCACCGACACGGTCCTCCCCGCCCTGGCTTGAGCAGAGATGGAGAGCGGCTGCTCTTTGAACTGGTGCCGCGGTGCTGGCGGCCGCAGGGACAAGGCTGGCTTTGTGTGGCCGAGCCCAGCAGGTGACAGCTGGGACGTGGGGACTTAACCCTCTCGCCGCTGCTGCGTGTCAGCTCCTCTTCTCGAGCCTCCAGAGCTCAACTTTGGCCTGATGCTCTCCTCTCCTCCCCTCCCAGCCCTGGGTCACTGGCGTGGAGGGGACGGCCAAAAGGCAGCGAGTGCCACAGAGCAGGGGCACCGTTGCCACGAGCTTTATGGGACGTGTCACGGTGCCCAGCCCTTGCAGCCCCCTGCAGAGCAGAGCTGAGCACGGCGGTGCTGAGCGCGGTGGCTTTTCCTGGCTTGGCCCCAGGCAGGACAATTCCCGGTCGCGCAGCGGAAGGGAGCTGCCGGGCCGCTTCCCCGAGGAAATGCGCCCGTGCTCGGGGCCGCGCGGCCGCTGCTGCTGCTCTCCCTTTTCCTCCTGCATGATCCACGGTGAGCACAAAGCCCGGTGGGGACTCGATCCTGGCCTCGGCTCTTTTTTTTTTTACTTGCACTGAGGGCACCAGGCCCGGTGCAGGAGGACCCCGGCCGCTTCCCCAGTTCAGCGAGGAGGAGGACGCGTGAGCCTGTTGGGCATGAGGCCGGGATGGGGTGGCAGCACGGAGGTAGCTCTTCGCCGAGAAGATCCCAAAGGAGGCAGAGGCAATTGTCTCAGGATGCTCATCAGCTGGGATGGGTTGGTGGGGTCAGGGAGCCCAGGTTTTGATCCTGCCCAGCTGGACCCAGCCCCTCATCCCCGTGTGCCAGGGTCGGGTGAGAGCCAGGTAGGAGCGTGGAGCATCCCTGTGTGAGGAGAGCTTCGTGCAGTCCCAGGCGCTGCTCCCGGGGCCAGCTGAGCAATTTGCAGTGAGTCACTTGCTACGACTCGTTAAAATGAGGCGTTGGGCTTGGGGGCAGAGTGGGGCCAGGGAGAGGAACGAAGTGCCCAATGCTCGGTCCCAAAGGTTTGGTTGTGGATGTCAGCGGTCCCTGTGCCCTTTTCCAGGCAATGCAGATCCCCAGCTTCCCTCAGGCAGATCGGACCTGGTCCTTTTCTGTGGTGTTGATGCCTCTGGGCCTCTCTGGCCACTCACACCATCCCTGAGCTGCTCTCCAAATAGGCCTCGATGTGCCAGCAGCTTCCTCCGACTCGCCCACGGGGGCACTTGTCCTGTGCCTTCTTCCTGAGGGTGCCGAAAATAGCCCGGTGCCAAATGCTCTGCCCGCTGACAGCTGCACAGCGCCCTGTGGGGAGGGTCCCCACATCCCCCCCAGCACAGGGACCCCCAGGCAGGGTGGGCATGGGCATGGAGAGCCCTGGGGACACGGGGACCAGCGGTGGAGCTCCCGGGACAGACATTGCTTGAGTGACAGCTGCTTCCTGCAAGGGATCAGCGAAGCTGGGAACAGGAATGTTCCCAGCACCGGGCTTGATTTGGCTCAAATGTTTTCCACCAGGCAATATTGTTCCCGCAGCCCCAGTGCCCAGATGCAGCAGGTTGGAGCTGAACAATTGCAGCTGCCAGCCCCTCGGCGGTGAGCTCACCCCTGGACCGTGGCCCGCGCTGCCATTTCCCTCTCCTCGCTTTTTGTTGGGTTTTCAGGAGCGTTGCAGCCTCTTTTTGCACCTTTTTTCCCCTGCGGGGAAGGGAAATGCTGGTGCTCGCCGTGGTGCCTGCCTCCCTGTGCTGAGTGCCAGGCTTGCAGGCGGGCATCCCGCTGGCTCCCCTCCAGCCTGAGTGTGCCTGGCTCCTGGGAAAACCAAGCTCTTGTTTCAGACCCTCCTACACACACACCGTGCTCTATCCCGTGGTATCCTCGGGGAAAAGCAGCCAGGTCCCTGCTGGGGCCACCAAACAGCCCCCAAGGGTGGGTGGGAGCCAGGGCTGGGGGTCAGCAGCGGAGGGGGCGTTTGGCAACGCAGGGTGCCCCGCGGTGAGGGTGGACGCGGTGCAGAGCAACTGCTGGGTGCCGGGAGACGCCTGTGGTCGCGTGGCTTTGCAGAAGCATCTGGTTTCATTATCCTAGGCAAACTTCTTGCTCCCGTAAAGGCTCGGTGCCCCGCTCCAGCAGCCTCCTTCTCCCTGCCTGCTCCCCCGGCGCAGCCGAGCTCTGACTCATGGCTTTGCGCCCTCGGAGCTGGCAGCGTGGCCGCCCCAGCCCAGGCTGCGAAGCATTCCTTAAATGTACAAACAATCCCCAGCCCCGCCAGC